GCCTTGGAAAATACACATTTTTGAAGGGGAGAGAGACTGGCTTTATAGATGTAGAAATATACACATAAACCCACACCTAATCCCAGGTTTTCTGTCATGTTGCAGACTGTGACATGGCTAGGCTTAGATCTGCACCACATGCATGTACGGGCCTCCCAGTCTAGGGCAGGAGTGTTCCCAGGACATAAGAGAAGACCTGGAGCACCCCGTGAGGTCTGTTCAGACAGTCAGCAGCCTACAGCAGATGCACACAGTCAACTGGAGGAGATAAAGACAGGTTGGTTGGTGACACCACAGCCACCCTTTCTGGTTCCACACAGATAGCTATCAAGTTGCAAAACACACAATCCCTATCCCGTTCCTCTCCTTTGTCTGCATGAAGCAACACAAAACCATATGCAGGCTTTCACTGTCAATATAAGCCATATTATTCTTATAATTCAATCCAGGTCCACAGCCTGAGAGCTCCTTTTCCTCCCTTTCCCCCTCTTTGCTCCCCTCACCACTTGCCTCTCTCCAAACTTGTTTAGGATTACATGCTGTATCATTAAAATCCAGATCAGTAAACATTGCAGCCTCTCTAAGCACCCCCACACTGCTTTCTAGGCTGAAAATTAGACATGGAGTTAATTTCATTCCTGCAAGGACTCTGCCTTTTATTTTTCTTTACGTCCAACTCAAAGGATGCTTTTGGCAGATGCATAGTGAGGAAAAAAAATGTTTGCTCTCTGCTTCCTCCCTACACTCCCCCCTTCTCCACTCCCACCCATCAGCCATAAAACAACACAGCCCAGCCAGATCCCAAACTGAAAGCAAGACAAAGCACCCACACAGCCTCCACTTCCATTCAGCAGAAATGGGCCGCTCTGGGGTAGCCCGGGATCCACAAGTAGGCCAGACAGAAATAAACAGAGTAAACAAAGAGTATCCTGTCCAAGCAGAGAGGAGCTAAAGAGAGTGATGTCTTTCATTAACATGCAAGGCAGGAATGCAAACACACAGACAGTCAAAGGCATCACTGGAGCTTGCTAGGAAAGTAATAGGAGGAAACACATGATCATGCTTTTACAAGGACCCAAAGCACACCACCCAACCGTACACTGGGTGCAATTGCATATCTCACCTTCTAAGGACCACAGCAAGGCAGCCACACACACGCCCACCACCACCCCAAAACATCAGAGAGGCCAGCCCCAGGGCCGCTGCAGCACAGCATGGCTCTCCAAAAGGCTGGGTAGGGAGCAGCATACACAGGTACGGTACCAGACAACCAGGGCCGTGCAAATGTCAGAGCCTGTGACATTTAAAAACAGTGTTGCTGTCTCTTTAGGAAACAGATGGGAAAGACAGAGAAAAGCACAGCACAGCCATAGCAACAGGTCAAGTGTTTGCTGCAGGTCTTGAGGAGAAAGGGTGATGCAGCGCGTGTGCCTTCTCCGTTTTCAGAGCATTTGCCACGTAATGAAATCATTAGCCTGGGAACGGATAGGAAATCTTGGGTTAGTTTTTCTGCAACGAGCTGCTCTGAAGCCCATACAGATCCACGTGTGAAAGTCCATGGTGTGTATACCCTTGTGTCTCCCCTTACACAGCTATCACAAACAACCCTTACGTTTTTCCAGACTTGGAGGAAAAATGCAGTAAATGGAGAGGTGGGGGAAGAGTCAGGAGTTTGTAGCAAAACAGCAGTTTGCTGGCTGCAAGTCTGCTCAGTTATTGGAAAAAATTGAACATGCTGCTTTTTTTAAACAGCCTAATCATATTTGCTCTTACATCAGACTTGCCCACCACAAATTGTTCTCATGCAACGGAAGAATTTTTAATCTAATATCTTGGACTCAGATAATTTCCCAGCTGCAGAACTGCAATAATTTCCTATCTTCTCATTGTTGAGATAAGCCGACTAACTTGGATATGTTTTAGTTTCAGAGTGGGATTATCTCCCTTTATTGTACTTGAGAGAGAAGGGGTGACTTACAGTAAAATGTTTTTTGGTTTTCCCCAAGTCAGCTCCTAAAGTCTGCTTCTCTGTGATGGGGATAGGTCTTTGCTGTTGCATTTCCCTTAGCCCCTTAACTTTCCACATTTCCTCTCCCTCTCTCAGAACTATACTAAGAGCAACTCTTATTTTACTCAAAGAAAATATGCTGTTCAAGAAAACCCTAAAATAATTCCTTCAAAAAAAGTCTCATTGGCAAAACATTTTCTTGTTTAAAATACCTTTAAGAGTTTATTAAATACCCCGCAACCCAGTACTACCAGTCAAATCCTGCTTGCTTTGTTCATTTGTTTTCAGGCATATTTACAGAAGTAGAATTGCAAGGAAAAAAAAAAAAAAAGATGATAAGGCCTGAAGCTCTGTTCACATGTACAGTGGAGCAAAACAGGAAACTACATTTATTTCAGTAGAAGTGATTTACACCCAAGTAAGGGAGAAGACAAGCAGATCCTTGAATTTGTGCCATTACAAATTCAAAAATACTGCTTACTCCCACAATTTTCTTGAGAGCTTTTGAACTTTAATGGTTTTTTTCTTAAATTCCCAGGTCCTAGATTTACTCTATTATGTCAAAAGAAAACCCTCTCCTTTTTTTTTTTTTTTTTTTTTTTTTTTTTTTTTTTTTTTTTTTTTTTTTTTTTTTTTTAAGAGTTTCTAGCAATCATTTTCTATGGGAAAAGCCAGAAACCATGAGATGAGGACACTTTTTGGACTGCAAGGCTATATATGTTGCAGTCTTTCTCTTTTAGATCTCAATGGTGTTCAGGGCTTTTCAACCTATGTTACCTTCCAGACATGAATTCGACACTGGAAATGTATGAATTACACATATGCAGATTCCCATACAGCACATATCAATTCATTCCTCTTAGTCACCATTCATTAATTCCTTTGAAATAAATGTTCATGTGTTGGAAAGCACCAGTGTGACGATTTAGTGGGAGTGTGGCTCATGTGTTTTCCCTGCACAACATTAGCAATACTAAGAAAGAGCTGGCCTATTTAAAAGGGAGATTCTCTAAAAAGCTAGTTCAGTGGAAAGACATGGTTGCATAAACAAGGAAGTGCAAGAACTTAACATTACAGATGTAGACAAAAAAAAAAAAGAATAAACCTTTTGCTACTTTGTATAAAAAAAAATAAAATAAATCCAGCCCTAACAAGCCACTGCTTATGCACAGTTGTGCCCCTTGCAGCTAAGCCCCTAAACCACCCCTATTCCCAGGATGGTGATGGGCAACTTCTGATTCCCCCCTGCTGGGAAAGGGAAAGTGGATGATGTCCTCTACTGACTGCAGTGAGAGCACTTCTGTCCCTGAAAATGCTCTCATAGAGAACAGTCTGCAGTATAAAAGCAGTGCTCCCATTACTGGCGCGTTGCTATGGGCACTATTCTAAGAAAGCAGACACAGGAGCAGATCCAGAAAAAATGGCAAAATATATGAGGGAAGAAAGAAAAATTGCAAAGAGCCTGGGCTCATCCCTGCCTGTTCCTACTGGCAGCAATAGGATGGTAGGGAAGATGGATGGTGAAATGTCACAATGTTGGACATACAGCCTGGCAGTGCTTGAGGCTTTGCATCACTCGACTGTTTCAAAACCCTATCTGGAACTGTTATTTCTTGGTACCCCAAGATATAATTTCTCAGCTACCTTTATTTTATTTTTCTTCCTAAAAGTTAGTAAAATCAAGTTTGTCTTTTTTTCATTAGCCTGCTTTAAGTTAATTTAATGAATGCTATTCTGGTAATGAAATTTGCCTAACAGATCATATGATCATCTTGGATCACAGTTCCCAAAAACATTTCACATGTACACTGGTACAGGGCAACCCTATCTACAATTTATCAAAATAATTTCAACTCTAGGCACCTTTACATACTTCAAGTGTTTGCAGGTGACTAATGATACCTGGATTTCACCACCAAGGAGCTACAGAATGAGTAGCTTTATGCCATCCAGCTGAATTGAAACCAGAAGAGTGAAGGTAAACTGTATTCCCCACCATCAGCAACCCTTGTAAGTTAAAGTCACCCTGCCAATTCCAGTTCAAATTAATCTAGAGTGGATTAAGTCTACCTTTTATGCTATTTTCTAAATGAAATCAGATGTACATGCAAAAGCGGTATTTAAAAGGGTTTTATCTAATAATGAGTCAGATATTGACAGAACAATCACCATGAAGACCAAGGTAAGAAGCAATATATTCCCATTAATAATTCAAATCTCAGCACGGATATTGATGACCAAGCACTTAAAAGAGAAAACTGGGCAGCAGCTGGAATTGGCCCAGATTTCCTGAAAAGTTGTTGGACTGCAACAGAGACACACTAGAGAGATTTTACTGTAAGATCCAACCAGAGAAATGGCAGCTCTTCATTATTAACATACGTTGGACTCTCAGCAATATTACTGAAGTTGAGCAAGGAACAAAATGTAGCATTAGCAGGCTAGTGAAAGTAGATGGGCGAGAAGAATAAGGGAACGAACTGTGGAGGCAGAATCTCAGTACATCCCCTTCTCCCAGTCCCAGTATTTGGGGCACAGAGAAACAGCATTCTGCAGCATCTATTTCCAGTTACTGCTTAGGAGAAAGCAACATCAAAAGCTTTAAAATAAATGTGTACAATCAGCAAAAGCACAAACAAACAGAAAGGTCATAGGAGCCAAAAACACTCAGAACAAACCAGTTAGGGCTAGTTAACATAATCTGCTCTATTCACATAACTTAGTTTGTTTCACTGAGGGCATGAACTTTCTTGGAAAAGCTCAAGTAATTAACTGCAGGAGCTTACACATTTTCTTTACCCTGAAATTAAAGCTGCTTGCACACAACTGCTTCTATCAATTCATTGAAAAAGCTGAGTTTTACTCGTCCTTTCCAGAGGGAAACGATGGAAGAGATGGTACCACTGAAGTGTAGGATTCCCTTCAATTCCTCCTACCACCTTGTCTACTTTTCCCATCACTTTGGATCGACACAAAGTAAAACACAACCTACCTCACTGAAAAAGAGCAGGTTTCCAATGAAAGGAAGAGGTGGAGGATGTCGGATCCCTACTCTGCTTAGTTTGGAAAATGCAGATGTGGAGTACCTGGAAAAAAAAAACCCACAAGGTAGTAAGTTAATTTTTGATCTTTTCATGATAGGACTTGCCACAGTAATGAGTTTAGATGACTTCCCTAGATTCAGGAGGGAGAAGACGCTTTCTATATTGGCTAAACAGAACTGCCAATGAGATGACATTGCTCAGCAGCTCCTCGGGTCACAGAAATAAATGCAATACACTGGCGCTTCAGAGAGGGCAAAAGAATCAAGGGTCTCAAACACGGGTCTGCAAATTGAGCAGTGGAATTAAGAGAACTGCTCCTCTTCCCACAGAAGGTCTTGTAAGTTAGAAGTGACTCTCCAAAGCTACGTGAGGTTACAAACGAGATCAAAAGAAGCATTTGGGGTTTGACTTTTGTGGCACAGCTGGGAAAGGAACAAGACAGATTTTCAGACTATTATTTTCTTCTTCAATCACCTCTACCTATACAGATCACAGAACAAGAATTCAAACTAGTCTCTGTTGTCCATGAGCCAAGACAGTGTCAGTATATTCAAGTCAAGCCTAGTATTTGGGCCAGATATGCTGATAAAGTGATTTTTAAAGCTGCCAGTCAGCAAATTAAACAAATATAAAAAATTCGGGGAAACAAAACCCAGACAGAAAAGCTTCATGCATCCCTTGTTTCAGATGAAACTGTGGCACATTGACAGGGACAATACTGGAAAAAAAGGGAAAAAAAACCCCAACCCCAGGGCCTTTTTTTTCCCCTCCCCTCCCCCTTTCTTAATACAAACAACGGATTTAAGTCAATGGACTTCAGTTAGTGAAACCTGAAAGAACAGGAGCTAACAGCAGCAGCTCTGATTACCAAAAGGCACAATAACACTGAATACTATCACGCTAAACATCATCACTGAGAGGACCTGAGCAAAAGATCTTTAAGATTAATAAAGCCTATGTCTATACTAACACCTTATATCAGAGCAATGGTATAGTTTTAAAGCTCTCCCTCCACATGATGGTTCTGTGCCCAGGGCAGTTTTGTCTCATGAAACCACGTTTTTGTGAGAGGAAACTGAACTCAAAGCTCTGTTCCAATCTTTCACCGTTTATCAGGGCAGTAATAAGCAGTTATTCAGCTTGAATCCCAAGTGCAGTGAGACTGCTTAGACCTGGGAAGCAAATTATATCTAAAGCAAAATAAAAACTGTGAACTGCATAAAGTGTGGGTGTGCAACACCAACTGCTTTAGTCTACGGAGTCCACAGGCCATCTTAATGACATCAGAGAGGCATAGAAGAAGCAGTGCCCTCAGATCCCAATGGGCTGGCTCCCTCTTAATCCCAATGTACAGCCTCGGTGACTCTGTAGATTATGCTAATGCATTGCTATGACTTGGACATCTTCAGATCCAGCAATCAACATATGCCTCATTTGAAATGACCTTACACGATGCAGGCAGGTTTAACCTAATGGGCAAACAGCATACACAATTCTTGGGGTTCAGTGAGGAGGTAGGAGAGAAAAGAAGAGCTGGTGTTAGAAAATGGTCCTGTCATCCAGCAAGAAGGAAAGGCAAGAACGGTGCTGTGAAGTCAAATATATAAAATAAAGAGAATTAGATCTCTCATGATCAGCAAAGCAAAATGGGATTTAAATACTGAGTTAGTAGCTTTTGGTACTTCCATTTCTAGAGGTTTGCTGGAGCACAGAACCTATTCTCTTCATGGGTTTCCTTTGTGAAGATATTTTACAAAAATCATAATCAGAAGATAGGGATTTGATAATTTTTAAATAACAATTTATTTTTTTTTAATGGGGGAGTACAAACCTTCACAAACCCTTTCAATAGAAATGATGTGTCTTCAGTCTCTGCAAGGACACTATTTCAAGTATGACAGGGTATCGTGGAGTAAAGGCACAGAAGTCAACATTTATTACACATTTTACACATATTATTGACTTCTTGGCTACTTAACTGCTTTAAAAAATATGAGGTTTTCCTCAGCTAATACTCCTGAGAAAAGAAATGTTTTAACTTTTAAATGACAAAACAGCCTACATGATACATCTTCTTCCCCCAAGACAGGATTTTTTTTTTTTGCTGTTCTTTGAAATCTTCCTAAAGTGTCTCTGTGTCATAGCAAAGTCCTCATCTCTACTGTAAACAGTGAAGAAGATGAAAATCCCTGTCAGTGGAAACCTGTCAATTTTGCAGCATTCTATCCTGATGTTTTCACTGTAAAATACATGGCAGATCACAAAACACCAGACTGGGCTGCTGTTAACTGCTCATTTCACTGAAGACCAGACACATTGTAGACCCCTGGTTTTCATGTACAGCAAAGGGAAGAGTGACTGCAACCGAGGCTTACACTAGGCAAAGTAAACTATGTGATCACCAAATATTTAAAAAGGAACACAACTAATGAGTACAGTGTGCCCAGCTTCACAAGGCAAGAAACACACAGACTGTGAAGGCTATTTATGCTTAGATGAGCAGTTCATCATTGTCAGCTTCTGAACATTACTGACAGCTCCACATAGCTGAGAATTTGCTTTCCTTTTCCCCCTCCTAACATGGTTTTCTCCGTTGCTTTTTATTCAGTTACGTTTGAAGTAGGTTTTTGAAAGGTAAGGAACCACAGTTTACAATGAGATGGGAGAAATAAGCCCCGTAGTCAAGCTACACACTGAAATATAACAACGAAAGGGTGAGCCCAGCTGGAGGGAAAAAAAAAAAAAAAAAAAAAAAAAAAAAAAAAAAAAAAAAAAAAAAAAAAAAAAAAAAAAAAAAAAAAAAAAAAAAAAAAAAAAAAAAAAAAAACCAACCAAAAAAGAATCTCATCAATAAACACATCCAGCTCTAGCCTATGATTTCACAGTATTTCTGATGTTGTTGAAATACCTGCAGTTTTACAGAAAAGAGTATGAAAGTGACCAAAGACTGATGGGGCTCCATGCACCGAAGGAGGAGGATCTAACACTGCACAGGTAACCTTGACTTTGATAATTTCTAGTGGAACAGCTTACATTCTGCAACCTTAAATATTTAGAGCTTCCCCCCATCTCTGCAATATTTCAGCTCACTCCCACTATTTTGGGTGGGGGAGAGAGAGGAAGGAGTGGCTTGTGAGCTTTTTTTTTTAAAAAAAAAAAAAAAATCCTGTATAACACACAGTGAACACCAGCCATACATGAATCCGACAGCTTTTGTGGCACAACCCTTTGCCTTTTCAGCAGAAGAGATGGATAACTCGAACCAGCTGATTTATGTGATTCAGTTACTCAGCACCCCCATGACACACACCCAGTAACTCAGTGCACTGGGCAAACAGCATCCAGGTTTTGATGCTGGGAAGGGCAGGTGGGCTAGAAGCTGGACAAGTGCAAACAGGACAGAGTTGCCTTGTAGGTAAAGACATTTGTCTGGACATCTAAATGAAACAGTTCCAAGCCTGCCTTATCACCAGCAGGAAGTCTTATTTCTCATTCTGCCACTTAACACACTTCTGCATTATTTTATCACAAAATTAATCTGGTATCAGGCAACCTCCTGCTGTTGCTGTGGGCACACACTAAGCATAGAAGATCAGCCAATAAAGGCTAAATCAAATGCAAAATCTAGAAATAGAAGACATACTGAGAGGTGACCAAGATGACCAAAGATATGGAACAACTTCTGTACAAGGAATAAGCAAACAGGCTACAATCTTATCATGGAAAAAAGAAGCAGCTGATGCAACCTATGAAAAATATATTTAAGATCCTGTACAGCTTAGAAAATAAATTAAGAATTATTATCCACTGATTAAAAAATTAATAAAATCTTGAAATTATTTTCACTTGGCAGGACTAAAAATTAAGCATTTTCCCAAGAAATAAATATACTAACTATCAAACTCCTTGACAGGGAATGTTGTCTATAGAAGAACTTTAAAAAGCTTCAAAAGGTGAATAAATAAATTAATGAAGGGAGGGGAATCAGCAGGCACTTTTAGCTAGTAAGTTTAACAAATGTAAGAGAAACACATGGAAAAGATTAAAGGAAAGGAGGGAAAATTAATCAAATTTATTTTCCTAATCAGGGAACTAGTCTGTAAGCTTCTACTGGCAGAATAAGAGATTAGACTGTTATAAAACCTAAAAGATAAAACCTCAGACACTTCAGCCTTCTTAAGAGGAAGAGAGGAAGGAGTCTTTATGTAAAATGAGAGGCATGAAAAAGATAACACTCTGATGGCAGCAATATTTACTGGACAATCTGGCATGCTCTCACTCAAAGGAGAAACATACCCTAATATTTACACACGTAGGGCTTCCTGCACAACTATTAATTTAAAAGCTTGGCATTATATTTTGAACAAAGTGACAAGACATCAAAAGGAACCAGAGGAACAGCAGTAATGAAGTAGATCGATAAACAATTCAATAACCCTTTGAAGATGTTCAGATGGCCTCTCAGAGCTGGATGCTCTCTGTATATATTAAAGACAACTGTTAAAAGAAAGTTAACATGCCAAATACATTCCTGTACACCAGCATGGCAGATATAAGTTCTCTGAAATACTAACTTCTCTCCACAAAACACCATACAAAAAAATAAGGAGAAACTGATAATTAATATAAGTAGGTTGTGATGGATACATAATCAACAGAACTAGCCATCTGCCCAGCCAGGTCAGTACTGATCAGTACTGCAAGGAAAAGTATTACACAGTCTGCCATCAATTTGTGTAGCAGATAACATTACAGAGCTTCCAACTCTACATCACAGAGTTCAACATACTACTGAAATTACCCCAAATTTCTCTCAATAGAAAAAGTGTGTCATTCCTTCTACATGTAAGCAATGAACAACCTAATAATATCTGAAAACTATAAACTAGGACACTGAGACAAAAAAATGATATTTTTTAATCTCAGGGTTGGGAGGTGCATTATTTTGCGAGGTTGAGTGGGAAAACAAAGTATTTTGCTGAGATAATGGAAATCTTTCCTGCAAAAAAGGAATAATCACCATTCATTTTTACCTCTTTGCC